AAAAGAAAAAGCAACAAAAACAGTTTTTGAAAGACCATTTTATTGATTCCTTTCTGCAATAATCACTATGATCCCAAACTTGGACATACCAGCCAAACTTAATTAATGTCTATTTGATTCTTTTTTTTTTTTTTTTTTTTTACAGCTATGCCATTTCATTCCTTCTTCCCTTTGACCGTGTCTTCTCATAAAATCAGCAACAGCTGCATTGCAATAGGATTGCTTTCCAAGTTTAAACCTTTGACCATTAGACCTGAAAAAATACCAAAGACAAGAAAATAGGTCTCTAAGTCCAAAGAACTGAAATCATTAGTGGCTAACCTCATGTACAAGACATGAAGATGCAATTGATCAGAAGGAGGTCATACTTGGAAAATTCAATTTCACTAAAAGAAAACAAAGGTCAAAAAATTTTATGTGGATAAATAACCCTGACAACTGTAGAGAATTTTCTACTTCATATGGAATGGTTTCTTAACAAAAAAGTCTGAATGCTCACTAAAATACACAATATCAAGCTTCCCACATATCTCTACAACTACTTATTCTCTTTCTCAGTATTACTAAAGGCATCAGCTAGCATTTACTGAGTGCCTATGATGGCCAAGGTCATAAGCTGTTCCCATGCTAAACATTCCTAACTAGTTATATTGGTCTGTTCTGACAGGAAACTTTTTTTTTTTTTTTTTTTTTTTGAGAACTACAGGTGAGAAAGATGGGAGAGTCGGGTCAGTCTAAGAGCATCTTCAGAACCGTCTCATATCACCTACATTTTTCTTTTTTTTTTTGAGGCAGAATCTCTCTCTGTTGCCCAGGCTGGAATGCAGTGGCCAAATCTTGGCTCACTGCAAACTCCACCTCCTGGGTTCAAGCGATTCTCCTGTCCCAGCCTCCCCGAGTAGCTGAGACTGCAGACATACGCCATCACACACGGCCAGGAAACTTTTAATCACAGCAGAAGGAGAAGAGAAGCAAGGCACATATTATATGGTGGCAGGACAGAGAGCGAAAGAAGGAGGAAGTGCCACACTTAAAACCATCCGCTCTCCTGAGGACTCCCTCATTGTGAACAGCATGGAGGAAAAACGCCACCATGATCCAATCACCTCCCACCAGGTCCCTCCCCGGACACGTGGGGATTGAAATTCAAGATGAGATTTGGGTGGGGAAATAAAGCCGAACGATATCACTAGCTACAGATTTCTTCTGGGTTTCTAGCAGCAATGTCGTTAAAGAAAAAAGACAGAGAGAGAGCTACACTTCTCTACAGTGGACCACGCTGCTAATGTTTGCAGATATCAGAGAGAAGTAGCCTGAAAAAAATTTCCTCACCTTCCTGTAATATCAAACAAACACTTCCAGCTAAGTGATAATTTTTCTCTTCTTTGGTTTGACAATGGCAAAAGTGACTTTGAAAGCAATAAATGATCCATTTGTTCAGAACTGGATATCAAGATACCCTCTTTACATTTAGATTGCTTTGATTTCTGCAATAGAACCTGGGAATAGACATGTCACGGCAGCACTGAAAAGGAAGATGTAAACATCATTTAACATCATCTTATGTTAAAATGTTGTCTTTCATTCCTTGGCCATTGGCAAACTCCAGATCCTTCTTAAGTTGCTGTAGAAATTGCTATCTCTAACCCTACCCCTGTACTTCTGCAAGGGAAGTGCAGATTATTTCTATGAAAGACGGGGTAACTCTAACTAACGTGCCCTAAGTATAATCGAGATGACTCAGATGCAAGCCTTGAGCCAGCTACTGCATCATCTCTACGCCTCCCTAACTCAAAGAGAAGCAGTCTTCCTGTTTCTGGCCTGCCCTCTGTCCTTCTGCCAACTGACAGCTGTGGTGAGAAAGATTCTGTACTGACCCTTCCTCTCATAGTCTCCCGAATCATGAGTACAAATTGTGAGAATATAAAAAACAAGAATCCCATTCCACAGTCTCAGCCGTCTTAAGCAACATTGTGTAGGGAGGAGCAACAAATAGTCCTTTTCTGGGCAAAAGCTATCCTGAGATAACCCCATTCTAAATTGCTCAGTTACACTAATACAGGGATTTAAGAGAAATGAAAACATTAACACTGATTACAGCATCTCTAGGATATGTAACAACTTGTATATTGAAGATCCCCTGAAGAATGCCATCTCTCTCATGGATACAGGCAGGTCTGTAAAATAACTGTGGCATTTTAATGCTAGTGCATTCTAAAGTTCCACATGACAGCTGCATAGCCAACATTTTAAAGCGATCAGAAAATTCATGCTACACAATGCTCACAGCTGGACCCATCGATCAAATTGTTTTTTGTTCAAATGAGATTCAGTGGTTGTTAGATAATTAAGCACTCCATGTTCTGGACTTCAGAATTTTAGTCATGGGAGCTAGATTTGGAAGGAAACAAAATATAGAGCTTTCCCTGTTGCTTTAGCCTGAGATAAAGATTCTTAAAGCCCTTCATGATTCTAGGACATTTAACACTGTCTCCCTGCAGAGCTGTGGCCTTTAATTGTTATTGACTATATTGGTCATTATTTGAGAACATTTAACTGTTGAGGATTGAATTAAAATACTAATATTCACTCTTGTAAAAGCAGAGTGTTCAGTATGATGAAGAGGTTTTTCTCCATTCACACGCAGGCTCCAAACTGAATTATTATGCAGAAAGAGCCTGTGGCCCCAGTGGTCTCAGATATGATGAATATTGGTTCCATTACTTCCACATTTATGTGCAATATGTCAGTTAAGATGACTTTCACTGCTGGGCATGGTGGTTTCTGGTAATTCCAGCTCTTGGGGAGGCCATGGCAAGAGGATTGCCTGAGCTCAGGAGTTCTAGGCTGTAGTGAGCTATGATTGTGCCACTGCACTCCAGCCTGAGCAACACAGCAAGACTCTATCTAAAAAAAAAAAAAAAAAAAAAAAAAAAATGGGGGCGGGGGAAGGGCCGGGCATGGCAGCTCACACCTGTAATCCCAGAACTTTGGGAGGCCAAGGTGGGCAGATCACAAGGTCGGGAAATCGAGACCATCCTGGCTAACACAGTGAAATACTATGTCTATTAAAAATACAAAAAATTAGCCTGGCGTGGTGGTGGGCGCCTGCAATCCCAGCCATTTGGGAGGCTGAGGCAGGAGAATTGTTTGAACCCAGGAGGTAGAGGTTGCAGTGAGCCGAGATCGCACCACTGCACTCCAGTCTGGGCAACAGAGCATCACTGTCTCAAAAAAAAAAAAAAAGATTTTCACTAGAGGACATACAGAAAACTTTGATTTTAATTGCTTAAATTATGCCAATATAAAGTTTTAAAATCTGATATAAGGAATGGCCCCAAGTTCAGTACAATCAAGGTTCAGTTCTGCCTTCATGAGGTTGTCTTTGTCTGCTCTCCCGCTATTTTGTTTTGTTTGTAGCTAATAATTTCTAACACTCTGTGCCAACCTTGGTTTAAGAGCTTCAGATATGTTTCAATTCATGTAATACTCACAATAGTCCTATGTGGTTGGCCCCTTATTTTTACAAATGAAGGAACTTCAAATCTACATATTAACTCATGCATCCTCAAATAGTCTATGAAATAAGCACTGTTATTATCCATTTCACAGAAAGGGGAAACGAGCACAGAGAGATTAGCCAACTAGCACAAGATCATGTAGCTAGCAAGGAGCGGTGCTGGAATTTGAAGCCAGCTTTTGGACTCCAAATCCAGTATCCTTAACTATTCGGCCATCTAATTGTCTCAAGACGTAATTATTTTCAGATGTAATTGCAGCTGCAGGGATTCCTTTCCTACTTGATGGTGTTGGCTATGATGGTGGAGGAGCTCACTCTCTTGTTTGAATTTTTAAGAGCAAAAGACCTTTACCAGAGGGTCCCCTGCAGAACTTCACTCAGGTCTCACTTGCCAGGACTGTGTCACTTGCCCAACCTGAATGATCAGCAAGGGAGTCAGACCCACTGTGATGGCTCACACTCTCACCACTCACTAGTGAAGCCTCCCAGAGAAGAAAAAACAGGGCAAGATTAATGTTCTGCCAGCAAGAAAACAGGGCACAATGGATGTTTGCAAAGCAAAGCAATTTGTTGGCTATAGGCAACCCCTGTACTGCTTAGGTTCATATTGAAATGTGGGTTGAGTATATGAAATCAAACACTCCTTAGCTTCCCGCTCTTTGGAATTTCAAATCATGAAATCATTGTGCCAGACAAATGCCAGGCAAGAGTAGTGCCTGCAGCAATTTTATTCTGCCTTGAATACTTGTTACACCAGAAATTCATTCTTTCCTTTCGTACATATTTGTTGAAGCCTTTCTATGTGCCATTTTTATGGTACTAGAAATACAATGGTGAGTAAGCAGATACAGTCAGCCTTTGTGGAGTTTACATTGTATTAGAAGAAAAACAATAAATATATAAATGAACATTGTAATTGCAGAGTAAAGCATTAGAGAAATGGGAATGAGGTTAGTCAAGCAATGCTCTGAGAAGGGAACCTTTGAATCAAGGCTTAAATGGTATGAAGAGGAAAAATGAAAGTGATACCTTGAGTGTTGGGCTTCAGGGCTCTGAGCATCAGCTACATCAGTTTCAATCCCAGCCCCGCCACCACAGGTATATGACATCACAGCTCTGTGCATCAGGCTCCTCCAACATAAAATAAAGACAGCTCATCCATTTGTGGAGATGATTAAATGAGTTAATACATTTTACAATGTATATGCTGCCTGGGTCCTAGGACATTGTGTGTCCTCAGCAAATATCAGTTGTTATTACCATCTCAGAAATAATAGCCCAGGCACAACAAGTCATCCTTAGTAAAGTTGTGCTTTAGAGGAACAGAAGCTGCTGAGCTGGAGGGAGAGGGTCTGCCGATGGCAGGAGCTAAGTGAACACAGGAGAATGTGATAGGAAATAAAGTCTGAAAGGGAGGCCAGGGCTACATCATTCTGATCAGTAAAGGTCAGCTCTGCTTCCACGTTAAGGGTTACCTTGG